TAATATAATATAATATAATATAATATAATATAATATAATATAATATATATATATATATATATATATATATATATAGAGAGAGAGAGAGAGAGAGAGAGAGACATTTGGAGATAGAGAGAAGGATGGACATAGAGAGAAGGATAGAGGCAGAAGGAAGAATCTGCATGTTGCCCTATGGGAATACTCTAGGCCCTTAGAACAAGCAACAGCTACCAAGAATTCAGTGTCCTGTCCTGGAGGGTCAAGCAGATGGATTCCTCTCAAAATGAGCTGGAGAGCTACTTCTCCGTTTAGTTTCCAGGAGTCAGCTCAACTGATACCATGTGTACGTTTCTGTAAGACCCACACAGAGTTTCTAAATGAGCCATGGGATTTCCTGTGAACTTTTAGACAACTCACATAATCAGAGAGGATATTATTGTAGTTTTAGTGTCTCAGTTTCTTTCCAATCCTCTTTATTTCTTTATTTCATGATCATTAGTTTGGTTTTGAGTTACAGTATTAAAGTCTTCTAAGCCTTTATTTGTAGCACCCACAGTATGGCTTTCAGGATACCAATGTGACATCTCTGTTAACCTCCACTCTGAGGTCTTCCTGAGAAGACTTGGCAGAATAGCAAAGAAAGGGCAGATGGGCAAAGTAAGAGAAAGTGACGATGTGCTTATTTTCATTGAAGTGGAATGGAAGACTGGAACTGACTCAAGCCTTTATGAATTCAGGGAGACAGAATTCAGTGAGGAGAGCTAAAGGTCTGAAGCAGAAAAGAAAGGGGGCAGAAGGAAATGGAGTCAAGGACTGAACTCTGAAAAGGAGACTATAAGGAAGCATTCAAAGACTGAGAGGAAGGGTGAACATGGCTGACATACTGGTATACTGCACAGTATGAAGGAGGAACACAGAGAACCTAATTCACTTTTCCAGTGGCAAGGATGGGCCAAGAATGGGAGGTTAGATTGCTTGTGAGTCTGGAAAAAATGCTAAAGAAGAGTCAGGAAAACAGCATGTTCAAGTTGAATCACATGGCTACTTTAACAGTTTACTCTAGTTTAGAAAGCAGGATAACAACAAATGTTTAATCATGATGTTCACGTTTAGATGCATAAGATGGTTTTCTGATTAATAAATAACATCTGGAAATTTAAACTCCTTTTTCCTTAATGGGTTTCAACTATTTTTATTAAATTTATGTGGGTAACTTTTTCTGAAAACTTGTTTTCTAGTTGAATCCTATTAAGAATAAAACAGGCAAGAAAGGGATGACTGAGATAGTATCAGGTATCATCAATACTTCTATTACCTACTAACTTCATAGCATTTCATTCAGGGACATAACAAGGTAATTATTAGTAAGCCGTTCACAAGTTTAAGTCTGATGTTAGAATTTATAAGTTCTACTTCCTGAAATCCATGTATGCAATCCTGCTTTAGAACTGATATAGATAGGATTGGCCCTGGGTGAAACTGGGACCAGGGTCCTCCAGTTGTACAAGGATGACTTTTGCAACTTTACCAGATCTGTTTGCATTTGTATAACATGAGAGCAGAGATGCTGTAGACCATGAGTTCTCTTTACATATAAGGTTAAAATGTTGAACAACCAACCAGTAAAAACACCCTCCTTTTCCCTTGTCTTTATCTTTATTTTTACAGGAATCTGTGAGAACATTTAAGAAGACGTTGGACATGTTTTCAAATCCTGAGATAGCATCGCCACCCACCAGTGTTTTAGCAGACTGTCTGTATAACCTGGGTCTATGTTACATAGAGGAAGGCAATTTACACATGGTATTTGTGTGTTTAGCTTTTTTTTTAAATTCTCATGTATTGAATTCCCACCAAAATTTCCTCTTCCTCCTCTCCTCCCTTCCCCTCCTGCCACCTCTCTTCTCTCTCACATTTACTCCTCCATTTTACTTCAGAAAAGAGAAGGCCTCCCAGGGATGTCAACCAAACATGGCATGTCAAGTAGCAGTAACACTAAACACAAACCTTCTTATCAAGGCAACCCAGTAGGAGGAAAAATGTCCCCAAAGCAGGCAAGAGTCAGAGACAGCCCATGCTCCCACTGTTGGCAACTCCATAAAAACGCCAAACTGCACAACCATAATGTATATGCAGAGGTCCTAGCCCAATCCCACACAAGCTCCTGGTTTGTTGCATCAATCTCTGTGAGCCCCTGTAAGCCCTGCTTGGTTGATTCTGTAGGACACATCCTGAGTGAGGTAACCCAGACACAGGAAGAAAATTTGGTAGGTACTTACTTATAAGTGGAGATTAGCTGTAAGGTAAAGGGTAACTCAAGGTAGGGACACATGGGTTTTCCTGAGAAGGGGAAATAGAATAGATTTTGCAGGTGGGCTGCAGGCATAGAGGGGTGTGGGAACAGGAGAGATTAGGTGGGCAGTGTTGGTGGGAGGGATGGAGGGCAAGAGTACTAGGAAAGAGGACCGAAATTGAGATGAGACATTTGGGGGACAGTGCAGAAACCTAGCGCAGTGAAATCTTGCTGGACTCCACGAGAGTGACACTGATGAAGTCTCTTAGTGATGGCGGATATGGAGTCCGAGCTGGTCATCGTCTACAAGCAGGGGAGGCTCCTAGTGGGACTGGGACGCCAACGCAGACACACAACCTTCGACGTACAATCTCTCCTGCCTGCAAGATTTACTGGGGTAACAATGGCACAGAACTTGTGGGAGCAGTCAGCCAATGACCTGTCCAACCTGAGGCCCGTGGCATAAAAGGGAGCCCACTCCTGACACTGCCCAGAGGGTCAGGAACAAGAGGCATGACAGCTCGGAGACCCAGGGTAGAACCAAATATAACTGGCAAGAAAAAGTCACTGAAGTGATTTCCAATGATATTCTGCTATGCTCATAGATTGGTGCCTAGCTCAGTTATCAGCAGAGGAGCACCATCTAGCAACGGAATGGGTATGGGCTGTGAGAGCCACAGCCAAACACTCGGCAAAACCAGGGGACCTCCTCCCCAGAAGAAGGGGAAGGAGGAATGTAGGAGCCAGTGATACCTGTGTGTTTAGAAGCAAGAGAATATTTGTGACTTTCCAGACTGGTTGCTGCATTCAGTTCTGTTTCTGAATGCTATCCACATTAATGTAGGAAGTGAACCAAGAAAAAGCAGTTCTAAAGCTTGGCTCATACCAGGCAGCCTGCATTCATAATTCCCTTGAATTGTTCGATATTAAATATCAGCTCATTTTTATGCTAATTTGTCTGTAATATTTTAAAGCTAACATGTGTTTCTCAATAAAATAATAAATCTAACTGTAGGAAACTGTTGTAGCAAAATAATGCCACTGCGTTTCAAAGCAGACACTAAGACTCATAACCAAACCCTCGGCAGAGTGCAGGGAATCATATGAAAGAAGGGAAGTTAGTATGATATGGAAAGGATAGGAGCTCCACAAGGACCAAATATATCTGGGCACAGGGTCTTTTCTGAGACTGACACTCAACCAAGGACCATCTATGGATATAACCTAGAACTTCTGCTCGGATGTGGCCTGTGGTAGCTCAGTAACCAAGTAGTTTTCCAAAGTAAGGGGAACACGGACTATTTCTAATAGGATCTCAAGGGCAGGCTGTTTGACCCCCACCCCAGGGGAGGAGCAGTCTGTTAGGCCACAGAGGAGGACTTTGCAGCCAGCCCTGAAGATACCTGATAAAACAGGGTCAGATGAAAGGGGAGGAGGTCCTCCCCTATCAGGGGACTTGGAAAGGGGCAGGGAGGAGACCAGGGAGGGAGTGTGGGGTTGGGGAGGGAATGAGGGAGCGGGATACAGCTGGGACACAGAGTTAACAAAATGTAACTAAAAAGAAAAATAAAATAAAAATAAAAAAATTAAAAAAAAATAATGCCACTGCATTAATTTGATTTATTAAATTGTAAATAGTTAAATTGAGTGTTTCAATGTGCAGTAGAATAAATGGATAATGATTAGAACATTATTTGACTTTCTTTATTGATAAATAATTCAAAGCAGATTTAAGTTGGTTAAGATGACCACATACATTGGAGAACTGTGGCATCCTGTTATCCTGAAATCTAATAACAATGTTTTTGCTGTAATTCTTGGACCAACATGCAGAACTGAATGCTGCTGTCTGTGATTTCTTTGAATTAATGAAATCAAAAGAATAATGATTAAAATTAAACCTCAAAGTATTGTTGTCTAACAGCATGGATTATGTAGATATTTGTCTGAAAATAATGAGGCTTTCAATTATAAGTTTGACTTATTTCTAGAGATTATACTAGTTTGTTCACTGGGTCTTTGAGAGAATGTATTTTAAATAGCTCAAAAAAAGTGAAGCTTTTCAATAACAGTGCCATATTTTATTAATCTTTTAAATTCATGTATTCTGTCACTAAGTGGTATATACTTAAATATATTCTTCCAGGCTTTTGACTCTTTTACAAGAGCTGTGCAAGCAAATGCTGAATTGGCAGAAGCCTTTTATTATCGGGGAATTTGTAAAGTAAAACTCAACAAGGAAAACCCAATTCTAGACTTTAATCGGGCAATTACCTTCAATCCTAAACATTACCAGGTATTTAAATAAATGATATCAGTAATTTGGACACTATGTTAGTTTTGGTGAAACTATGAAGGAGTTTATGTGTAATTGCTAATAAAAGTAACTTGCTTGCTCTCTCTCTGTCTCTCACTCTCTCCAGCCATTTCTCCCTCCCTCCCTTTATCCCTCTCTTCCTCTCCTCTTTCTCTTCTTCATACTATATAGCACAGAATGGCCATGCACTCACAATGTAGCAGAGAATGACCTGAAACTCCTAATACTTCTGCTTCTCAAGTTTAGAGATTACAGACATGTATTATCATATCTGATATCAATTAACTATATTTTGATAACCCAATTTTTTTTATTCATCTTGGAACAAAAGTATTACTTTTAGATAATACTAATAGATAATACATTTGAAAACGTATTTTGAGAATTGTGTATATGTAACTATTTACATTACATTAATTTGTTAGTAATTTTAGTTTACATGCTGTACATTTTATTGATTTCTTGCTTTCATATCACATGGATTTTGCATCCTAACACATTTCAGGGATAGCCCCAAATTTAGTACATGAAATTTCACTAGATATTGATTTTAAATTAAATTTGAGTTGACTAAATACTGGATAATATTAGTGAATTATTAGTAACAATCCTAGATAAATAACATTGATGTAGTTATGTGGGGAAATGTCTTTTTTTTTCCACAGGAGACTCATTACTAGAGTAAGTGGGATGAAGAATTAATGGTGTATGCAACTTTTTTTCTAATCATTTAGGGAAAAAAATGAAGAAAGCAGATACAGTAGGCCATACACTAATGGTAGCCACAAGCCATATCCCTGTAAAATTATTTCAGCTATGCTGTATGTTTAATTTTTTAATGAAAAAAAAATGGGGAAACCAATTTTAATATTGTCTTAGGTACCATAGATTTGTTTGAAGTTCTATATATTCTGGTAGAACTGATGATTTTATTAAAACATATATTCTTGCTTTTCACCTCGTCTGAAAAGGCATATTTAAGCAGAGTAGCCTACTATGGTTTAGAGGGCAGATACTCCAAAGCAATTCTGAATTGTAATGAGGCCATCAGACTTTATCCTGAGAGTGTGCGTGCCTACATCTGCAGAGGAGTTCTGAAATGTCACAGCAAGGTAAGACGCGCCCTGCCTGGTTCACTAAGGGTTCAGAGTTGAGGTTTCTCGAGTTGTTAACTGGGGACTCGCTTCCAATTTTCCACAAATATATGATGTGAGATTATTCTACCTGTATACTTCTAATGTTCCCTTGTTTTTTGGACTTACTTTTTGACTATAGATGATGCATTATATTCCACCATAGTTTATATTTAATTACTTGATTGTTAGATATTTGGACTGTTTATATGTTTTACTGTCCATTTTAAATCATGCCTTTATATGTAATGAAAACAAAATCATTGTTTGACTTTGTTTCCAAAATACATTTTTTTTTTTGGGCAAAATACTGTGATATCTGATGTTGAATGGAATGATTTACATCTCCCTGAGTTGGTTTTTGACATTTCTTCATTACTACTTCATCTGGGATACTTTGCCTCAGCACCTTAAAGCAAAAGTGTAACCTCTCACTGGGTATCAATTTATGAAAATTTATGTTCAGATGATGACATAGGGATCAGAGAATACTAGAGGAGGATGAGAAAGTGAATGTGAGTCGAAAGTGCTGCGACTGTATGCTATGAGACTGAGTGGCAGAAGGAAGTAAGCGTGTTAGCGCTCACCAGGAGACTGCGGGTTGCTTGCCTTTTAAAACCAGTGTCATTTTCTCTGGGCTATATATAGCAGCACTGGTAATAATTGCTTAAATTAATTTTTTGAGATTTTTATTGTTATTTTATTTGCACGAGTGTTTGCCTACACGCATACTTGTGCACCATATGTGCGCAACACCTGTGTAAACAAGAAGAGGCTCTGCGACTCCTGGATCTGGGGCTACAGACTCTCATAAGTTGTGGGTGCTGGGAATTGAACCTGGGTCCTTTGGAATATTAGCCCAGTGCTCTTAACTGTTGAGCCGGCTCTGTAACCCGTAATTGCTTAAATTTAAGTTACTGATATCCTTAATTTTATTTGTAGGTTAAAAAAATCTGTAAAAGTCCCTACTAAAACCTTCTTAATGAACTGTTAAAAGATTAGCTTTAATGTATTAATTTAGAAAGATAATATATAGATTCTGAAAGAAATGCTTTGAATATTTATTTCGTGACATGATTTATCCTTCTCACTCTTTCTTTCTCTTTGTAGAACTACAAGCTCGCTTTTATAGATTTAACTACTGCCATCAACATGGACAAGAACTGTTACATAGCATACTATAACAGAGCAGTCTGTTACACCAAGATGAGGGAACTTCACATGGTAAATAACTGTTGTAGTAAATGAGAGACTTACCCAGAGTCCTCCTGCTTGCTTAGCTTCTTCAGGTGTACAGATTTTAGTGTGTTTATCCTTTATTATATGTCTAACATCCACTTATAAGTGGGTATATGCCATATGTGTCTTTCTGCTTCTGAGATACCTTACTCAGGATGATCTTTTCTAGATCCCACCATTTACCTGCAAGTTTCATGATTTCCTTGTTTTTAATTGCTAAGTAGCATTCCATTGTGTAAATGTACAATAATTTCTATATCCATACCTCAGTTGAGGGACTCGTGAGTTGTTTCCAGGTTCTGGCTATTCTGAATAAAGCTGCTACTAATATGGTTGAGCAAAGGACCCAGGGTAAGATGATCAGTCTTCACTCAGAAAGGCAAATGGGATGGACATTAGAAAAGGGAGAAAACAGGAGACAAGACAGGAGCCTACCATAGAGGGCCTCTGAAAGACTCTACCCTGCCTCAGTAGATGCTGAGGCTCAGAGCCAAACTTTGGGCAGAGTGCAGGGAATCTTGTGAAAAAAGGGGGAGGTAGAAAGACCTGGAGGGGACAGGAGCTCCACAAGGAGAGCCACAGGACCAAGAAGTCTGGGGCCAGGGGTCTTTTCTGGGACTGATACTCCAACCAATGACCATGCATGGAGATAACCTATAACCCCTGCACAGATGTAGCCCATGGCAGCTCAGTCTTCAAGTGGTTACCCTAGTAAGGGGAATAGGGACTGTCTCTGACATGGACTTAGTGGCTGGCTCTTTGTTCACCTCTCCCTGAGGGGGGAACAGCCTTACTAGGCCACAGAGGATGACAATGCAGCCAGTCCTGGAGAGACCCAATAGGCTAGGGTCAGAGGGAAGGAGAGGAGTACCTCTCCTATGAGTGGACTTAGAGAGAAGCATGGGAGGAGATGAGGGACAGAGGGTGAAATTGGAATTGAATGAGGAAGGCGGCTACAGCAGTGATTCAAAGTGAATAAAGTGTAAATTAATAAAAATAAAAATTAATATTAAAAAAGAGAGATTTAAAGCATTTGAGAAGCAACATGAATTCAGTGGCTTCCTGAGTTAGACAAACAACCAAAAAAAAAAAAAAAACCAGTATATTATAAGCAACATGGTAAAGCATTTGTAAGAATATTTAAAGCATTTGTATTTTCTGCTTCATCTCTGCTAAAATCTTGGAAAATAATTCCTATGGGAATACACGAATAAAACTTGATAAACCACAAAGATCCATTTCAAATACTATTGATTTCTTTCTTGGTGCCAAATTTATCATATGCAGCTTCATTATTGTCAGTTCATTTTATAATGCATGAAAAGGTGTTTAAATGCCTGTAAAAATTCAGATACATTGTGTACATATCATCTGAGTAAATGTTTTACTGAAATACCACCGTACAGAATTTTACAGAAGTGTCCACTAGCAGTACTGTTTTACAACTTGGACCTAAGCTAGAGCAGTTTATGAAAGTATTTGTTGTAGAATTCTGAGACTATCCATGCAATGAAGAATACGTCTAGAGCTGTGTGTTCCGTCTGCAGGGGCTGTTGACAGGGGTTTGCACAAGTGTCTTTTTTTTCTTTTTATTATTATTATTATTATTATTACTATTATTGTTATTATTATTAATTACACTTTATTCATTTTGTATCCCCCCATAAGCTCCACCCTACCTCCCCTTTCTTCATGCATGCTCCTCCCCAAGTCCACTGATAGGGGAGGTCTTCCTCTCCTTCCTTCTGATCTTAGTCTATCAGTTCACATCCGAAGTGGCTGCATTGTCATCTTCTGGTAAGGCTGCTTCCCCCTCAGGGGGAGGTGATCAAAGAGCAGGCCAATCAGTTTATGTCAGAGGCAGTCCCTCTTCCCATCACTATGTAAGCCACTTGGACACTAAACTGCCATGGGCTACATCTTGCACACGTGTCTTAAATGTCTGACTGTGTTTTAAAACTTATAGTGTGGCAGCAATCACACTTCTTCACCAAACTCATTCATATTTTCTAATCTTTTTTAATATTTAATTTATTATTTATTACAATTTATTAAATTTGTATCCAGTCTGTGGCCCCCTCCCTTGTCTCCTCCCAATCCCACACTCCTTCCCTCTTCTTCCTTTATGGTCCTTCCCTAGTCCACTGATAGGGGAGGTCCTCCTCTCCTTCTATCTGACCCTAGCCTATCAGGTCTCATCAGGAGTGGCTGCATTGTCTTCCTCTGTGGTCTGGCAAGGCCATACCCCACAAGGGGGAGGTGATCAGAGAGCTTGTCTCTGAGCTCATGCTAGAGAAAGCCCATGCTCTCCTTACTAGGGAACCCACTTGGAGACTGAGTTTATGGGCTACATCTCAGCAAGGGTTTTAGGTCCTCTCAATGCATGGTCCTTGGTTAGAGTATCAGTCACTGAAGGGCCCCTAGAGCCCAGTTTTTTGGCTCTGTTGGTCTCCTTTTGGAGTTCCTGTCCCCTCCAGGTCTTTTTTTAAAAATTCTTTATTAATTACACTTTATTCACTTTGTATCCCCCCTGTGGTTCCCTCCCTCCTCCCGTTCCTCCACCGTCTGCATGCATGCCCCTCCCCAAGTCCACTGATAGGGGAGGTCTTCTTTTCCTTCCTTCTGATCCTAGCCTATCAGGTCTCATCAGGAGTGGCTGCATTGTCTTATTCTGTGGCCTGGTAATGCTGCTTCCTGACAGGGGGAGGTAATTAAAGAGCAGGCCAATCAGTTCATGTCAGAGACAGTCCCTGTTCCTATTACAATGGAACCCACTTGGATACTGAACTGCCATGGGCTACATCTGTGCAGGGTTCTTAGGTTATCTCCATGCATAGTCCTTGGTTGGAGATTCAGTCTCAGGAAAGACCCCTGTGCTCAGATTTTTTTGGTTCTGTTGCTCTCCTTGTGGAGTTCTGTCCTCTCCAGATCTTACTGTTTCCCACTTCTTTCATAAGATTCCCTGCACTCTGCCCAAAGTATTTCTATCTCCCCCTTCTTTCATAAAATTTCATGTACTCTGCCCAAAGTTTGGCCATGAGTCTCAGCCTCTGCTTTGATATTTTGTTACTGTATGTAAATATGTAAGTAGAGTCTTTCAGAGGCCCTCTATAGTAGCTTGACTCCATTTTCTCACCCTTTGTCCAAATGGTTGACTTCAATGAGAATTAGCTCTGTGATCACTCACCTGTAAGCTCTTTGTCTTCTGTTCCTTGCTGCTCTAGCTTCTTTTCCTTCTTGTTCTCTCCCTCCTCACTTCTGCCCTTTCATAGCAGCTGTGAGTTCTTTCAGTAGACTTCACATCCCACTATTCTAGGTGGACTCACACCTCAATCTCTGTGAAACTTAGCAAAGTCTGCTTATAGCATCTATAGATTTAGGAGTCACAGGGAAAGCACAGGTTGAGAAACCTTCCACACAGAAGAATGCAACATTCCTGACAACTAGCCCAGCAAGCTTGTCTTCCTCTAGAAATATAGACACATGAACAATTAATTCTTAACAAGGCAATTGGCAAAATTCAAGGATCCAATTAAAGGATCATTTAGCAGGGACCTACAGAGCAGGTGTCTTTGAGGATTTTCTTTACACCCCTTCCTGCCTGAAGGCAACCCCAGGCCAAACAGAGTGAGCTGGGCAAGGAAGGAACTTCCAAATTTTACTCAGTTATGTGAAAAAGCCAATTCTTGCTTAATGAAGAACATGCAAAACAATCTGAATAATTGAGACCAAAATAAGGTTGCAAAATATTGGTGATTTTCAGGGTGCCTGAATCCCAGAGCATTTCTTCTGTTCATTTTACAGACAAGGAAATGACAGTAGGGAGAGGCTACAGAACTCAACTAAGTGGCACTGGGAATTAGAAACCTGCCCTGGCATTCACACATCTATTTGTTTGTGGGTTAACAGTCCTTAGGTAGCTTTGTAAATTCCTGTGATGCTGGATTGGATAGTATGTCATTTCAAAGTGTCACCTCTTCCCCCTTTGCCTACTTTCACTTGCTTTTCAGCATTTCTTCTATCACTGGGCTGACATGCATTCTTTATAGATAGAGTTTCCTAAAAATCTAAGCATGGTGAATATATTTTTGTGTTTTGAAATTTTAATAACTTTAAAGTAGTCACTGTCATTTTCTAGCACTGGTACTTAACAACAAAATCACAATATGTATTATTGAAATATAAAGCTGAAGAAATATAACGATTTAATTTAACCAACTTAAATCTCTAAGGGCATCTTTTTTCAAGTTTGCCGTGTGTACCACTTGTGAAAAGTTACAGAAATATATTCAGACAAAACTAGACCCTGGGGTCTATTTTAGAATTTCTGAATAAACTAGCTTGTTAGATTGACTCATATAGCCAGTGGATGATGAAGATAAGCTACATGCTTGTTTTCTTTCTTCAGTATCTACAGAGGAGGCTTTATGCATGCAGTGGTTCTAGCAGGATGATTTTCAGATCTTCAGTTCCCTCCACTCAGCAAGTGCTCACCTAGTCTTAGACCAGCATGGTGGATTTTGACTCTACTATTCTATAATAATAAAAACAGTAGCCAATACCTCTCAACTACAGCTTATTGTATGACAAACACTAGGCTAAATACAAATACATAATCAAAGCATTTCTGTTTTAGGCAGAAATTGAGGGAAGGTGAGTGCCACTGGGATTTCCAGGTTTTTGTGTCCCTGAGCAAGGATTTGGATTATTTAATAGAAGGAAAAGAATCGGTTTATTAAGGGACTAAAAGACACTTCTAAGGGTGTCAGTGGGTCAAGGCTAGAGAAAGATCAAAGTTTCTATAGTGATGGAAGCAATAGATTGGAGAATTTGTACTACGCACACACACTCCCTTTTTTTCCTTTGCAAATATTCTGTCATGTTGGCTATAGAAACATGTGGTAAAGGGTTTCTAGACTGGGTTTAGCCTCCATTTTGTTGTTATTATTATTACACAGAGACCTGAAGAGCTGGATCCCCCAAGACTGGAGTTACAGATGGTTGTGAACTGTCATGTGGGTGCTGGGAATTGAACCAGTGTTTCTCTGGAAGAGCAGCCAGTGCTTTTAACAACAAAGACATTCCTCTGTCAAACTGACAAGCTAATTGATTCAGAAGTTCTAAAATAGATTCCAATGGTATCTTTTATATGCAAATGTTTACCTTACACTCTTGTGATATTTGTAGATGAACTCTAAAAATGTATTAAAATTGTAATATTCCAGTTTTGTAGCTGAGGAGAGAGATTTCAAGTTAAGTAAACCTTTCTTAAACTCAGAATCTAGTAAAAGCAATTGATGGTACACATTCAGAAAATGTTATGGCTGTTCTCGTCTTAACCAAAACTTTTAGGTTAGGCATTCAGGGAAATGTTTGTAATTTCGCTGTGTAGTGATCTGAGGTAGAAGGATCATGAATTCAAGGTCAATGTGATATCCAAAGCACGTTCCAAATAGATAGTTTTGTGGTATGACACTATCTAAAGGAGCAATGAAACAAAAGAAAAGAAACATAACAGAAAGCATCTTCAGTGTTCTCATCTGCAGTGCCCATGCTTAGCTTCCATGAAATCCTGTTCTTCTAGAATCTTTCCTCATGTCCAGCTGCTTGGTGGATCTCCAGGGTATCTTACAAACTGTACATTCTGTGAGTCCATTGGAAGAATGACTGAGATAAGGTGTGACCAACAGTGCAGGCTGTCTTTCAAGCACTACTAAATATTCTACAGGCCTAGCAATGTTTGTATTTATATCACTATCACAGTACACAGATAGGATTTCTACTTGTACAATCTCATTAGACACCTGTGCCAGGAAATAGGAGAAAAGGACAAACGAGCAGAAAGTTAAATTCTATTTATTTGCCTTTTTCACTTAGATGACACAAGAACTGACCCTTGTTTGATTAACCATGTGGCTTTTGAACAAAATATCCTCAAAGTGTTCAGAAGAATTCACCCCCTTAGAAGTTAGTGCAGGGGAGAAACCGATTCAGTCCCTGGAAAAAAGATAAGAGTAGAGGGTGCCTTCTTAGTACATTAATTTCTTCAGTTTTGATGGCTTTCTTTAAAAGCCGTGACTATGCATATCAATATATTTTGGATTTCCCTACTTTCCTCTTTGCCCTTATTGTACCCTTTTTATTGGTTTCTGATTTATTAATTTGATTGAAATTTACCAGATGCCTGTATGTGAAGGCAGGATACTTGTCACTAGGTTCAGAGTGCTGAAAATATTAAGCACTTGCCTCCTGCAGTTTAGACTACAGTGAGGAAGGCAATAAAAATGCTAAAATAATTGAAATTTCAAATAGTAATCTCCAATTTCTTTCATGTGAATGTGTTATTTGGAGAAAGAGTAACTGTGGTGGGGAGCAGCGTGTGTGTGTGTGTGTGTGTGTCCCTTCCTTCCAAACTGAGCAATGCATAGGAGCATACATGGGTAGCAAAGAGGTGGCATGTCGTAAGCACAGTGAACACTTACTTAAAAGCAGAACTGCCATGATATATACCTAAAGGGATTCTTCAAACCTAGCAAACTCCACAACTGACTCTGAGACCCTTCTCTTGATACAAGCATATTTGACCCAGGGCAGTAGAGTAAGCAAGGTCTCTAATTGACTATAAGTGAATGTTTTGTTTTTAGGCTTTAAGAGATTATGGGATCGTGTTGCTTCTCAACCCTGGAGAACATATAACATTAAGTACCTTTGTTAACCGCGGACTCATCTACAATGAACTAAAGCAGTATGGCTTTGCAATAGAGGTGAGCCTTCCTGTGAATGTGGGTAAATGAATTATTTGATCTTACACAATCTTAAAAAAACTAGTGTTTATTGATCCAGAATGGCAGTATTAAATGAGTTACAGTGTTAACAAGAATTGTATTGAAATACCTAGGATAGATAATAAGATTTTTATTAAACCTAAGTACTTTACACTTTATTTTGATTGCAACTGAATGGTTAATGTGTTATCCTTTTTTTAAACTAAGGCTATCATCTTCCAAAGGAAGCACAAAAATTCAACTGTTTAACAAAATTATTTGTACATAATTTACTCTGCTCTGTAATGTTCTTTCTCACTCACAGTTTTCCTTCTGCTGTTGAAATTTGTCAAAATATATCTGTTTCAAATAGGACAGGACATAGATATATGAATGAGCTACTGAAAATTTTTAAGTCTTTAAGAATAGGCTATCAGAACTGGAATTTATGGAAGTATATTGGAAAGAAACAAGCAGTTTTCAAGTTATTGTTTTATAGAATAAACATGGTTCATAATCCTCATTATAACCTTTATTAAAACTTGATAGTAGTTTTTTAGAATTAAAATTTAGAAACAAGACAAAGGTGGAATATTCATTTGCAGTTAAGTGATGACCTTTTATGTATTTGTTTCATCCAGACAACTTTTTATACTACCTGTCAGCTTTGACAGTGGTACAAAATTTATAATTTTAACTTAGAGATAAGGAAATGAATATTCAAAAGAGGTTTAATAAGATCTTTGAAGCAGTAAATACTGATGCAAGATGTAAACTTGGGTCCCACTACATTATAAATGCCATGTTCTTTCAGACAAGGCTGAAGCACCAAAGACAGTTTTCATGCTTGGGGAGTCAAGAGAGAATCACTCTTGGACTCTTCTCTTTCTTTAACATACACTTAACCCATTAATAAGTCTAGTTATCTGTCACTGAAACAAAATTTGAACTAAATCAGTTCTCGCAATTGTTCTCTCTTGAAATCAGATCTCAGAATAGAAATTTCCATCTCCCAGTTTACTGAAGTTGCTTACACGTGGCCATTCTCTTTAACACTTAGCCTTGTACATGCATTCTCCACATGGTGGCCAAAGAGACCACTTTAAGAAATAAAACGGATGAAGTTAGTCCACTGCTCCAAACCTGCAGTGACCCATCCCACCCAATAAAACCTGAATTTCTGACCACTAAACCCAAGGTCTGCCTTGATGTGACTGATGCTCACTGCAGACTTTATTCTCAGTCTTCCTTGCTACCCTGGAGCCTTTCCTTGTTGGCCTTTTGCTATTCTCTGGTAATGCCCAGCTCCCTTCTTGCCCAGGGCCAATACACGAGCTGTCCCTACATAGCTATAGCTCTAAGCCCTTCTTTAATCCAATATGGTCTTTCAGTCAGAAGTAAACTGAATAATTAAAATGGGATATTAAAAATATTAAAGGACCTCAAAGTATGTTTGGATGTGGGATAGGGAAACATACACTGAAGAGACCAGCAAAAACACAAGAAATAAGGTATTAGACCCAAATCCAATGATGTTAATAGTTATTTTAAATAAAATGGTCAAAAGGCACCAAATAAAAGAATAGGCCATCAGTTAGGAATTTTGAAAAATATCTAGTATATTCTGAGTACAAGAAACACTTCAAATATTGATGGAAAAGACATACAAAATAAAAATGGTGACCTTTGCTTTGTGTAAAGGAAATAAGTGGCTAAAAATAAAAACATTTAAATGATTCACCCAGAGAAAGAAACAATAAAGGTTAGAATAGTGAGTAATAAGGGAAGAACCAAGACACTGTCATGAACCTACCCATGGGAAAAAAAGACTCGTTGAAGGATCGATTGAAGGAAAGCTAAAGTGTCGGGAGAACTGAAGCACACCAGATATTGGGCAGCTGTCTGACCTTGCTAGGAACAGCTTGATCAGGAAGCATTTAGGCTGGAATGCTTGAGAAGCTGATGGTATGTTATGTTGCTTTGAGAGCATTTACTTATACATTTTCCCTATTGCAAATCTTCCAGGTGAGACAATGAAATTAAAAACAGATTCAAGAAAAGGTTAAAGTCAGTATAGACATGACTTTAGGTACACGCAGGATCCAAGGGTTTGTGCATTGAATTTAAATGTGTATGTCCAGCCATAGATCAGATATCAGACATTTAAGGGATGTAAAATTGGTTCCCCCAAAACATGTTGTCATAGGTGCTTAAGTTTGCTGGGAAGAGGGGAGTGTGTGGAGTGATGGCATCTGGGAGCTAAGCTCATCTGTGTAAGGAGTGAATAGCTGTAAATATGATGTTTCTCAGGTCATGTAGGAATTTGCAGGAAAACACCAGAGTAAGGGATAAAGTTAATTGCCCCTTAGGGGTGGGACTAGGAGAATGGAGAAGTGGAACAGAAGATCACTGCTTAGCATTGTTAGTTTCATAGTTCACAAGATACCGCCTACCATGTAAGAGCAGAAAATCCATTCCACCCCTTAAGACAAGCAGGCTTCCCCCTTAATAACGAGCAGGGAAAGTTTGTGAGAGGAGGAGGTCGAGGGAAATGATTGGTTAAGGCAGTGCCTCTCTATTTCTCCCAAATGATGGAATTAAAGAAGTGCACTACCACCCAACTGCCTGGCTATGGTCACCTTTAAGAAGAAAGTTTAAAGGATTTTCTTTTGCTGTCCAGGAGAAGGTACCATATTTCCATGGTTCATTTTAGCTCAGTGAAGTAACCGCAACAAATGCCTGTGGAGTTTCCTGTTGATGGTGTTCTCTTGGGAAGAACATTTTTATTTCCTGTACAGGTTCTGGAGGCTTCCTTTAGAAGACTCTTCCCCTCCTCGTAGCCATCAGTGAAATCAATCATATACAGTCCATCAGTATGAACATGACATTTGGCTCATAAATGTTTATTTAACTGCTAATTCAGTTTTTGTACTGTACTTATTTTCATTCATGCTGAAAGTATTTCTGTAATACTTTGAGGTGATTGCAAGCTTCAGACAATATTTTTAGGGCCTGGTAGAGGAGAGTGTTCTGGTCTTTTTTGTCAGGGTTTCTTGAAGACTTAGCACATTTTAATTCTTTGAAACAGCCTGTTCCCCATGGCCATTCAAGTCCATTCCCGAGTCCTTTCCAGGTTTCACAGCCTAAGGTTAGAGTTTCCATTTTTTTCACTTCAGGGGGGCTTCTGGATCCTTGGACAGAATCATACAGCTCCTTCCAGAAATGTGGGTTCCAAAGGTAGGTTCAGACCTGACTAATAAGTGTAAAGTGCTTTGTCATCATCACTTACAGGCCTGGTACCTTGTTTTCTAACTGCCATGTAATCCCAAGGGTTCTTTCCAGGGCAATTTCCTCTTCTCTCTGAGAAGGAGAGTTTCTGGTGGTATAAACAATAGAGGGAAGTAAATGAGATACTTTACTCCTTGCCACAAGGCAGCACTGCAGGAAAAGTCCCCGTTCTTAGGGTGGACTCACAGACACGGAGTGTGAATAATGACTGGGATGCCTTGCTTCATCCGCTCTCGTTACATGTGATTAAAAAAAATGAAGCTTTAGGCAGATGTCTATTTTAAGGTTTATGTGATATATACTTATGTGGAATCAGAGTCAGAAGGATGTTTTAAGGAAACATAAATTAACAATATCTTATTCAATTGTTTCAGGATTTTAAACAAGCTGTAATGATAAGCCAGAATAATGTGAATCTTTGTCAAGCTACTGCCATGTGTCATCACAGGTATGGAGTGTCGTTATTGTCAGAGGGGAAGGAGGAAGAATCAGCAACCACGTACAGAAGACAGAAGGGAATGGGAAGGGGGGTGGAAGATGTGCCTGTGATAGATTTTTAGAAAATTGGGGTAGTCATATAATGGATTTCTTCCATTCTGACTTGAGGACCATATATATCTGCAGCACCCTTGTGTCTGTACTAAATCAGCAATTAAATATTTATATCATGGCATTGAAGATGTACATTTAAATGTATACACAAAATGTCAACTAAATGTATGTATAGCTTGAAGTATCTAGGTCTGAAATAATTTGTTCAGAAAAGCTCACTTCCTGGAAAAGAGGATAATTTACTAATATTTTCAAGAAAATTTTGCACCAAAAGACACATTTCTATATTCTAAAAATACTAAAAACAATCTAAGAAAATGTGTACAAAATATATTTAAGTCTACAAAAATACAATACTTAAGAGTGACCTCTTCCTGAGATTTCTATACAAGCATATTAGAAACAAGGACAGCTGAAAATAACAACAATAACCCATGGCTTTAGCAACAACTACACAGACTTTAATATGATTACAATGTCACTGTTTAATAATAGTTTATAACATTACTTTTTTTCCAAATTATTATTTTTATTATAATACAATCCATTTAGAATTACAGTATATTGGGTTCTATTCTATTTTTATAACACTGTCAGCATATTAATAATTATTACATGATATAAGATCATGATATAGTTATAGCAAGAATTTGTTGGAAAACATAGTTGCAATATTTGTATTATTTTTTGATTAAATTTTATTTTTTATATTAATTACAGTTTATTCACTTTGTATCCCAGCTATAGCCCCCTCCCTCATTTCCTCCCACTCACACCCTTCCTCCCTCATCTCCTCCCATTCCCCTCTCCAAGTCCACTAATAGGAGAGGGCCTCCTCCCCTTCCATCTGACAATAGCCTATCAGGCCTCATCAAGACTGGCTGCAATGTCCTCCTCTGTGGCCTAGCAAGGCTGTTCCTCCCTTGGGATGGGGGAGGGGTGGCAAAGGTCAAAGAGGCTGCCACTGAGTTCATGTCAGAGATAGTCTCTGTTCCCTGTACTAGGGAAAATCACTTGGATGTTGAGCTGCCATGGGCTATATCCGAGTAGGGGTTCTAGGTTATATCCATACATGGCCCTTGGTGAAGTGTCAGTCTCAGAAAAGACCCTGTGCCAGATATATTTGGTCCTTGTGGAGCTTCTATCCTTTCCATGTCATACTAACTCCCCTTCTTTCAAATGATTCCCTGCACTCTGCCGAAGGTTTGCTTATGAGTCTTAGTATCTGCTTTGATACACTGCTGGGTAGAGTCTAGGAGGAATGGATACAGAAATTGTGGTATTTTTACACAATGGAATACTACTCTGCAATCAAAACTGAGGAAATCATGAAATTTGCAGGCAAATGGTGGGATCTAGAAAAGATCATTCTGAGTGAGATATCCCAGAAGGAGAAAGACACGCAAGGTATATATTCACTCATATAGTCCTATAACATATGATAAACACAATGAAATCTGTACACCTAAAGAAGATAAACAAGAAAGAGGACCTGGGATAAGATGATCAATCCTCACTTAGAAAGACAAATGGGATGTGCATTGGACTTAGGAGAAAACAAGTAACAGGACAGGAGCCTACTGCAGAGAGCCCCTGAAAGACTCTACATAACATTACTTTTGATAAGGGAAAGAATGCCAGTTTCTTTGGAGGATTAAAGTGGGATGATTTATTAATGATTGATGTGACTCTGCAAATACAGTTTAAAAGACTAGAATAGAGTTTAACGTTGGGAAACTGACATTCTTATTCTCCTCTTTAGGATGTAGATGTATAACTATATCTCTCCATGAGAAGTAAAGTTCTTATTGTAGAAAAAAAAGTATTAATAGTAGTTGTAAATTCTGCAGATGCCTTAGGGTTAAAAACCTGGTCTCAGGCCTTTCATTATACATGGTCACACCTTTGTCTATTTTATTGCATCGATCTTTGTGCAATCCATCTCTTTAAGCACTTGTCATTCTTAAGAAGAAATGGAATGGCAGCTGATGTGTTTGCTTTGGTGTACGTGTGCAGGCCAAACTGTCTGAGATCATTGCATTCCATCAACATCTGAAACATCCTACAACATCTCTCAACCTTGTTTCTCCCTAACAGCTATTAGAAGCAGGCAGGGCCTCCCTCCCGTGTTGGGCTCACGTCTTTATGAGGTGTGATCTTGGGGTAGAACAAAGCCCCCCTAAAGCGGATACTGCTTTGCTGTTCCAAATAACCAACTTGCAGCAGGTCTCTAGGGTCTCCATTTTTCTCTCATAAAAACGGAATTCAAATCAACAATAGTTCCCCAGAGTTCAGAGTTTTAGTTCCCCATGTATTGAGTTTTCACAGTTTTACTGAGCTTTAACAAGCAACATTTAGAGACTATATAAAAAACATTTTGGTAACATACCCTATGGAAGTGTGGCTTGTAACTATGGAACTTGTTTTTTTGACATTTTTTGGTAGAAAAAAAGTTTTTTTTTTTTTTTTAATTTGGAAAACTTCATAAAAGTAAAAAAAAAAAAAAAAAAAAAAAAACTTTAAACATTAGTGCTCAGATATTTGAACTCCTAGAGTTGAAGCTGTTTGAAGTATTCGTTGTGTATTTCTATCTCCCACTCTCGTGGTTGCCAGGGCATGGCCTTCCTTAGGCTGAATACCTTACTTATTGCCCAATTTAATCAGCAAGAGTGCTGTGCCAATGTGAACTTGCAGATCTCAACAAGAAAGCCACCTTTGTATTTTATACCTATTGCTTGGTTGTTTGTCACATGCGTTGCTACAACACATTTATTATACTATTTTGATATTTGCATAAGCTGTTTCTAAGCCTTTAACTCTGCAAGCCACATTCTTCTGTGTTTGAAGGTCTTAGTGATTTGTTTGTAGAAACCAGAAAGGCATATCTGGCCACATCTGTGATTACTGTAAATGCAGTGGGCCTCTGTGTCTGTGACTCAGCAGACACTGTAAACTTGAACACCTTCTGAGAGTGATCACATGACTTTAGATGCATATAAAAACATTTATTTCAGGAAAACTCTTAATGTGCTTTACATATGTTAGAGATGATACTTAATGATTTATAGACCAATGAAAACATACTCAGAAGCAATGTAGATCTTCTACCAAATCTTCCCACTGGGTAAGTGCCCTGTTTGGGCTTAGCAAGAGCTCCACATTATAGGATGGTGTGGCAGACTGATCTCCGGGAAAATGAAAGTGCTCTCCCTACAGGACACCTGGTTCATTTTCCCCTTGTCTATGGTACAAGAAGCAGGAAGAGACATTGTCTTCAGTTCTGCCACTTGGTCTGGTTGTGACTGTCAGTCAAGGATAATCTTCAGGTGCCTGTCAGGTGGCTTTCTATATCCATTTCTAGCTTTTAGGTTGTTTACTCAGCTGAATGGACTAAGTGCACATCAGTTAGCATTGATTGCTAGCTATATCTAACCGCCCTTCATAATATACAGCTTGCATTACAGAGCAATAAGCTTTGGTTCACTGTCTGATCTGCAGTTGTATGCTTTTGTAATTGGTCAGGCCACACAGGAGGAAAGCTTATATTTTATAAGCCCTGTAGCAGATTACACACCCACGAAGGTTTTTGAATCTCTTGATGGGTGAGAAGAGCACTGGACGTGATACACACCAAATGCTAATAAAATAGGAATGCCTCAGTAATTTATAGTGCATATATGATGATGGCCCTGAAAACCCAGAACACAAGGGCCCTATAAGTATATACTGTAAGCAAATACTTCTCTATTCATTGGTGGAAATACTGAGTATAAGAAAGCCTATCAACAAATGCATTGTACATAGAATGCCATCTTTATTCTTGGTAAATAGAGCTAGTTCCTGTGTAAAATTGCTGATGTAATCTGCCAAGAAGGTGCCTGGAGAGGCACTGAGACCCCGATTCAAATGAACAGGCACATCTTAACACAGCCGTTAATAAGAGTGAAATTTCACTGAAAACTATCAGAGAGATGATCCTGTGATTTCTGAGCAACCACCCCCAGAATGAACTCAAGTTACCAAATAGCTCAGGAAGGCCATTATTGACCCTTTCCTGTCATTGGAAGACAAGTGTCCCTACTACTTCAGTGTTGATCCTTATGTTGTGATCTTCTAGATGACACACAGTGCTTGCCTTTGGGTGGTATTTGACAAAACAACAATAGCAACAACAAAACATGGAGACAGAATCAGAAAGGCTTTTTTTTCCTAAGATTTTTATTTTTTATTGTTTTCTATTTCTATTTTATTTTTATTTATTTTTATAAATAAAAATAAAATAGAATGCATGTATGTGTTGAATGCACAGAAGCATCTCTCTAGACCTGAATTATTGTTCCTGTTATGGACGAACATTAAAAAAGTAGTTGTTAAACAATATGAGGCCATTGTCTTCATTGATGCCCTCAGTGAAATGGGATGCCCCTTAGCAAAAAGAAATACTAAGCATCTATAAATTTATTTTTAAGGTATGCCATGAGTCAGTTGATAATGAGATAATTTCTCTATAAGGCATTATTTTAGATAACTTTGTTTTATGTAAAAATCATTAAGTTTTTTCCTTTTAAAAATTATTATTATTTATTACAATTTATTCAATTTTTATCCTGTACAATTCATTCAATATATAATTTATTCAGTTTGGCCCCCTCTCTTGTCTCCTCCTACTCCCACCCTCCCTCCCTCTTCTCCTCCTACATCCCTCCCTTAGTCCACTGATAGGGGGGTCCTCCTTCCCTTCTATTAGCCTATCAGGTCTCATCAGGACTGGTTGCATTGTCTTCCTCTGTGTTTTTAATGTAAACTAATATAGTAATACTATCTCTAGATGATATAAGATTATAGGATTATCATTTTATGTTTGGTCCCTGTAAACTGAAGCATTATTAGTTGGATTGAGATTGCAATTTAAATAATAGCATATGTTGTCACTATCAATGCATATTTTTTTTATGTTGGTAGCATATCACTATTGAAACAAAGTTTAGGATTGCTGTTTAGACTTCTATTTTTGGGAAACAGAATTACAGAATAACATTCACATAATGCTGTAAAACTAGTTTCAATTTTTTATATTTATTTATTTATTAGTTTAGTATGTGTGTGAGAGAGAATACACACATGTGGATGTGAGATGGCTATTTCCTTCTACCGTGTGGGTTACTGGTGGAAAGTGCTTTTACCCTTGAGCCATCCTGCAGCCCTTGAAAATGTTTTTACATCTGAGCAAGGGGGGTCTCGGTCCTCTCCCTGCATGGTCCTTGGTTGGCGCATCAGTCTCTGCAGATCTCCTTGGGCCCAGATTTGTTGACTTTGTTAGTCTCCTTGTGGAGATCCTGTCTCCTCTGGGTCTTTCTATTCTCCCACTCTTCCATAAGACTCCCTGCATTTTGCCCAAAGTTTGGCTGAGTTTCAGCATCTGTTTTGATTCCCTGCTGGGTGGAGTTTTTTGGGTAGGAGAGGAGGGCTTCCTCTTTCTGTGGTGTAGAGGAGGCACGTGGGGGAAGAAGGAGGGACGATGGGACAGGGAGGAGATGAGGGAAGGGGCTGCAATTGAGATATAAAGTGAATAGATTATAAAAATAAAAATAAGTAAATACAAACAAACAACAAAAAGAAAATGGTTTTTACTTCCCTTCTTCTCACCAAAATCTTCAAAGATTCTTCTAGACTTTCTTAGATCATATAGACTTATATACTTCTTATGAAATGTAATAAAAATAAAAGATTTTCTATAATGGTTAATACAAATCTTTTTGGGGAAATCATATACTGAAAACATTGAATAGACTTTTAGCAAATATCAACTCATCAGAAAGAATTACATTTCTTTCTCTTTTTTTTTTTCAGAATTAAAGAGTTTGAAGATGCAGTTAATTTCTTTACCAGGGCCATTAAAATTAACCCACTTTTCCTGGATGCTTATGTTGGACGGGGGAATTCTTACATGGAGTATGAAAAGCATGAAGCCATGAAACGAGCACAGAAGGACTTTCTGAGAGCACTGCGTTTTGACCCGTCTTCTTCAAAAGCCAGAATTAGTTTGGGCTACAATTTGCAGGTAAATATAGCATCACTTTTAGCACTGAGAGCATTGTTTGGAGAGGAGAAAAGAGATTTTTACCAGTAATGTGGTCAAATGTTATTCCTCAGGCTATGAACATTTAGTTTTCTTTTACTGTGGTTATGGAAGGTAAAAGTAGGGAGCAAGGCCTCAATTCAGTACAGAGAACTTGTGTAGATGGGCCTGAGATCAGCTAAGACTGATATAATAATGCTGGAAGGGATAGGATTGGTTTTTATCATGATGAAGGCGAAGGCCAAGAATATGTCAGTAAGAGAAAAAAGGTTGCCTTGCTAGAATCAAACAGAAAATTACCATTATAATCACAATATGAACAGTGTGAGGTCCACCTGAAGAATGGATTGGATCACTTTAGAGGAGCTAGAGGTGACTGGCAGCCAACACAATGTACTCATACCATTTACAGGCTGAGCACCTAACATGGATGAAGAGTTGCTCCCAGCTCCTAGAGACCGCAGTCTAGAAGAAACACAGCTCCTTTCAGCTAGTCAAACTCCTAGTTTGGAAAGAGAGGCACAGTTACATGCATAAAGAATTTTGGTTGTAATTATGATAAATAAGGTAAAACAAAACAAAACAATCCTCAAAGAGTTTTTAGTGCAAAGAGGTCTAACCGAGGGGTAAGAGAACTGCCAAATTAACATTTATGTTGAGGGGAGAAAAACTAGTAGTTAGGTGGAGGAAGGAACTGGGGCTAAGATTTAGTCAAACAACCTTTTAGGAAACATAGGAAGAGACAGAGGGTCCATATGAGTCGAATGAGGTGGAGAGAGAGTGGTTTGTGATGAGATTAGAGAATTAAACAAAATCTTCATAGTCTATATTAAAATAGGAATAACGCTAACAGGAAAAGTGACATCAAATTTTGTTTTGTGAAAAATTGCACTGGGTATATAACCAGGTAAGAACATTGAAAAACACATCAGTATGTAGGAGCATATCAGGAAAGGGAAGGGGCAATAAAGGAGAGTTAGGGCTGTCCAAGGAGAAGAGTGACAGTTTGTTCTACAGATACATACAGATTCTTTACTGCTGAGGACTGGAGTTGCCACAGTAAGCACAGCAGATGTTGTCAAGAGCAACTGGTAAATTAAATCCTATCATGAAGGGGTTTGCAGTCTAATATTTTGATAGTGCCACCTCTCTGTTTATCAAATGAACTTGTGACAGCCCTGCAGATTTCCTGTTTACTTAGAGAGTTTGCTGGTTAGAAATCAGGACCTAGATCCCTCAGCAGTTGCGTTTCTTTATAGCTTTACGTGAGAGTCAGCAGGCTCAAGTTGGTTAGAATGTGCCAGCCTCTACGATCTGGACAGGTTGAGTTTTTGGACCCATGAGAGAAAGAACAGAAGCTGGGCCATCATGAATTAATTAACTCTCGCTTTCCTGTGGGGAGTGTTTAGTTGCCAGCTGGTCTGATCTGGGAAATACTCTGACATCCTTCTATTAATGGTGCCTGTCTCCTGACCTTTTTTTCTGTTTTTTTTTTTTTTTTTTTCAGTTGGCACTGAGATTGTTATAAACAGATGCTTGGTGGATTTACATGCATCTTCTGTGGAGTATATATACAGTGTTCCTAAAATTCCAGATGCTAGAACAATTCATTTGCACTGCTACCCCATTTATTTATGTAGCACAGACTAATTTTTCTTTGTGTGTTATGCAGATATTGCAGATATCTGGTGTCTTAGGATTTCTGTTGCTGTGAACAGATACCATGACCAAGGCAACACTTATAAAGAAAAACATTTAATTGGGGCTGTCTTACAGTTTCAGAGTTTAGTTACAGTTTAGTCCATTATCATCATGGTAGCTGGCAGCAAGTAGGCAGATATGGTGCTGGAGACAGAGCTAAGAGTTCTACATCTTTTTCTGGCTTTCTTTTTTTTCTTTATTAATTACTCTTTATTCTCTTTGTATCCCCCCTGTGGTTCCCTCCCTCCTCCCGTCCCAATCCCTCCCTTCCTCCACCCTCTGCATTCATGCCCCTCCCCAAGTCCACTGATAGGGGAGGTCTTCTTCTCCTTCTGATCCTAGTCTATCAGGTCTCATCAGGAGTGGCTGCATTGTCTTCTTCTGTGGCCTGGTAAGGCTGCTTCCCCCTCAGGGGGAGGTGATCAAAGAGCAGGCCAATTAGTTCATGTCAGAGACAGTCCCTGTTCCTATTACAATGGAACCCACTTGGATACTGAACTGCCATGGGCTACATCTGTGCAGGGTTCTTAGGTTATCTCCATGCATAGTCCTTGATTGGAGTATGAGTCTGAGGAAAGACCCCTGTGCTCAGATTTTTTGGTTCTGTTGCTCTCCTTGTGGAGTTTTCTGTCCTCTCCAGATCTTACTGTTTCCTACTTCTTTCATAAGATTCCCTGCACTTTGCCCAAAGGTTGCCTGAGTTCTACATCTTGATCAGCAGGCAGCAGGGAAAGACTGTGAACCACACTGGAAGTAGCTTGAGCAAAGGAGACCTCAAAGTCAGCCCCACAGTGACACACTTCCTCCAACAAGGCCAACCTCTTAACAGTGCCCCTCCCTATGGGCCAATCATTCAGATGATCTATGGGTGCAATTCCTATTCATACCACCACGTTTAGATATTATCTGTCTATCATCTGTCTGTCTATCTCTCTTTTTTCTTTCTGTGCTTTCTTTCTTTCTACACACACACACACAAACACACACAGACACACACACAGACACACACACACACACACACACACACACACACACATCTTACTTGAGACAAGGTCTCACTATGTCCACCAGGTTGACCTCAAACCCTCAGAGTTCTGCTTACCTCTGCCTCCTAAGAACTGGGTTCAAAGGTGTATGCCTTTGTGGATTTCAATGTAAGTGTTTGGTAGTTAACAGAAGTATAGTTGTCATATAGTAGCTAAGACTTTAAGTTGTCTAAGATTGGTATAAAAGTTGACCTTTCTATTTATTTGAACATAATTTAATCATAAATACTTAGAGGTAATTAGTCAATTGAAGATGCTCTTAATATAGCCTGATTTTTTATTTAAAATACCTTAGTTTTAATATCATATAAATATAAACTTCACCAAAGATTTTAATAAATGAAAATCAGGAAAATTTGTCACATTAAAGACTGGGTTTTTTTGTTGTTTGTTTGTTTTTTGTTTTTGTTGCTTTTTTTTTCTTCATTAAATTGAATAACTATTTTAGGCCCAAGGAAAATTCCAGAAAGCCTGGAATCACTTCACTATTGCCTTAGAAGCTGATCCAAAGAGCTACCTAGCCTATGAAGGACGAGCTGTGGTTTGTCTTCAAATGAGAAATAATTTTGCAGCAATGCAGGATATTAACGCTGCCATAAAGGTAAATGTAATCTATGTTGATGATACTATTATTAGCATATATTCACACCATCAATGAGTAAGTCTAAGTAAAGTTGTTCTCTGTTAAGCCGATATGTAGAGAAATAAGGTTTTGTTTCCCCAGTGTTACACCTAAGATAAAGAGTTATTATGGTTTGATTATTTTGTTATCTAAATGCATTTAATATTTAAAGCAAAATTCTAGATAAGCACTGATTCCTCTTAGCAAATACAGCTTATATTTTTCATGGGTCCTTAATAGTATTTTGTTATACAAAATGATTTCAAATCCTAACAGTGATGTCCTAAGCGTGAAGCAATTAGAGAACAACCTAGATGTTTGGCTGCTCCCTGTGGTGAAGGAACAGCCTTCCCGTGCTTTGAATTCTCTTCTAGATTGAGTTTTGATTTTATAATTTTAAGATACTATGGGGTAGTATAAGCGGTTTAATAAAGGAAAAGAATTAAAGTAATTTTTCTACACAGGACAGTGAAGCATACTATCTCTTCAATTTAGTGTCTTCTCTCATTTACCCAATAAACACTTAAATGTTCCCCATGCCTGTTCCTTGGAAAGGACCTGTGAAAAGCTCTGAACATATTTGTTTTGTGGCAGCTACTCAATAAAACGTTGACAAGAAACCAATTTCATATCGAGCCCTTTCTGAAAGTATTTGCTCTAATTGGGTTTTACCTTCACTGGAAAAGTACTTGTTTGCACGAGTGGATTTCATAACATTCATTCCACAGACACGAAATAGGTTAATATTATTTCCAGATGCCGAATCCTCCTATGATTATGTTGCAGATCAATACTACAGCAGAATTCTTAACAAATCGTGGTGTGATTCATGAGTTTATGGGTCATCGACACAATGCAATGGAAGACTATCAGGCAGCAATTTCTCTGGACCCCACGTACTCGCTGGCTTACTTCAATGCCGGGAATATCTACTTTCACCACCGGCAGTTTTCTCAGGCAAAGTGCATTTTCCTTAAACATGTTGTCTTTGCATTAAATACTTCTTTGTTATATATAGTTTTGAAGTGCAGCCTTTATACCTCAGGTTAATAAACAATCTTCAGGTGTCTATACTGTTTTCCCTTCTGAATAAGAACTAAGCACCTACCCCAGGGTCCTCTTTATTGTTTAGCTTCTTTAAGTCTCTAGATTTTAGTATGTTTATCTTACACTATGTGGCTAATATCTACTTATAAGTGAGTATATACCATGCTTGTCTCTCTGCTTCTGATAATTTCTAGTTCCATCCATTTGCCTGCAAATTTCATGATTTTCTTGTTTTTAGTAGCTCAGTAGTATTTCATTATGTAAATGTACCACAATTTCTGTATCCATTCCTAGGTTGAGGGACATCTAGGTTGTTTCCAGATTCTGGCTATTATGAATAAAGTAGCTACGAACATAGTTGAGCAAATGCCCTTGTTGTATGGCTGAGCATCTTTTGGCTATATGCCCAGGAATGGTATAGCTGGGTCATGAGGAAGTGGTAGAAAAGAGAGAACAGGATGGGAGCCTACCACAGATCTCCTCTAAAAGGAGTCTCTAAAAGACTCCACCCAGCAGGGGATCTAAGCAGATGAAGAGACTCACCGTCAAACTTTGGACAGAGTATAGGGAGTCTTACGGAAGAAGAGGGAGACAGAAGGACCTGGAGCAGACAGGAGCCCCACAAGGAGACCAACAAAGCCAAAAAAGCTGGGGCCAGGTGGGAATACAGAAACTGATGCATCAATCAAAGTCCACGCACAGAGACAATATAGACTCCCCGCCCACAGACAGCACAGTCTCCATGTGGGAGAAGGGGAGAAGAGATAGTCTCAGACATGAACTCAGTTGCCTGCTCCTTGATCCCTGTTGGGCGACCTAGTCAGCCCATAGAGGAAGAGGATCCAGACAGTCCTGATGGGACACTTGAGTGTTATGCTTCAGAGACTAGCAAGCGCTAAACACAGCTCCTCAGCTGTGCTGCCATGTCTGGGCTTCTCTGTGGAGAAAAATGGCTTCTATGCCCTCTCCTGTTTCCCCTTTTAGTTGTTTCTGAATTGAAGGATGATCTTATCACAGAAGGAAGAGTCCCGTATCCAATAAAATATTTGCTAAAGAGTTAAAGCACATACAAAACCTGACTTCTGGTTGTTGTTTTTGTTTGTTTATTTTTTTTTTTATCAATTTGGTAACAGTGCTTTAAAAACACTTAGTATGAACAAACAAGGAGCTTACTTTTAAATAATAATTTTATCTTCTTTATGATTGATTAATTTGTTAATTGTAGATATTAGGGCATCAGATCAGATATTTGAAGATCAAAGGTTTTAATTGCTTTAGCTTCTAACTGTTTCATACCCCTCTACTTCAAGTAATCTCATTAAATTAACAGGCTTTCAACTTCCTAAGTAATAGACTTTAGAAGCTATCATAGAAAGCTATGATGTGGAGGTTGGAGTGATGGCTCATTCGTTTTGAAGAGCACTGGCTGATCTTCCAAAGGACTTAGGCGTGATTACCAGCACCTATACAAGGACTCCTAACTGTCTGCCATTTCAGTCTCAGAGGGTCTGACACAGTCTTTCACCCTATGAGGAGATTATTCACACATAGTAGACAGGCATGCATGAAAGCAAAACACTCATAGACACAAAATAACAAAATAACAATAAAAATAAGGTTCTGTTGCTCAGAATTAGGTACACTGCTAGTGTATGACCTTTCATTATTTGCCCTTGTTTGATAAGAGGCATAGTTTTGTCGTTAGATAACTGTGTAGCCTACTCATTATTTGTTAATGAGTTAAAATGAAGCATACATTGTTCTTAAACGTAAGCAATGCTGGGAGTCAACCATTTGCTTCTTTGTTGCTGTCTGTGGAGAGAAGCTTTTCTTTAGGAGTGAGTTCTCTTTAAGCTCTCCACAGTTGTGTTTCAATTCTGCTCGCATCTCAGCAGACCCTTAAATTGCACAACTCTGGCACCACATATTTGCCATGAGGGATAAGAAGTTACTCAGTCTTGATGTAACTGCCCCTCAAAAAGTCAGAGGAAGGAAAGTTTATGAAGAATCACCTGAAGGCTTTATTGCCTCTTCACTTGTAGATAATGAAAGAAAATTTATGTATAGTAATTGACAGAGCCTGACTACATTTTTCATGCTTTACACAGATGCTCACTTTACCCGTACATCAACAGTAGAATTAAGAATGTGTCACTTTCTTTGGAAGATTAAGAAATTAATACAAATAGAGTTTTATTTATTTATTTTTTTCATAGTGACAATTTTTTTATTTTTTTAATTCTTTATTAATTATACTTTATTAATATTTAATTATACTTTATTCACTTTGTATTCCCTACCTCCTCCTGTCCCAATCCCTCCCTTCCTCCACCCCCTGCATGCATGCCACTCCCCAAGTCCACTGATAGGGGAGGTCTTCTTTTCCTTCTTTCTGAACCTTTGGGCAGAGTGCAGGGAATCTTATGAAAGAAGTGGGAAACAGTAAGATCTGGAGAGGACAGGAACTCCACAAGGAGAGCAACAGAACCAAAAAATCTGAGCACAGGGGTCTTTCCTGAGACTGATACTCCAACCAAGGACCATACATGGAGATAACCTAAGACCCCTGCACAGATGTAGCCCATGGCAGCTCAGTGTCCAAGTGGGTTCCATTGTAATAGGAACAGGGACTGTCTCTGACATGAACTGATTGGCCTGCTCTTTAATTACCTCCCCCTGAGGGGGAAGCAGCATTACCAGGCCACAGAAGAAGACAATGCAGCCACTCCTGATGAGACCAAATAGAGTTTTATAACTCAGCCAGCCGACGTAGAAGCAAGAGATAAACCCTGCATTCTGTATCCTTAATCAGAGGTGTAGCCGCCATGCCGTCATTGTTTATACTAGCTCAGATAGGTGAGCTTGAGGAAAGATCCCTGGGAAAACTGGAGGAAAATGGTTTAGTGAGGGAAGAAAATGGTTTAACAGATCAGAACAAGACCAGAAAGAGTCAAGGTGTAGGGCAAAAGGTCCAAACCGACTCCTGGGTTTGCAAACTTACCAAAATCCATCAGTCTCTGAGCCTGAAATCTGACCAATTCCTGAGCTTGAAATTCGACCAATCCCCAGATTTGGCTCGAAATTCTACCAGTTCCCACCCTAGATACCTCTACCTTGAAAAACTTCTCCCCCAAGAAAGTGTACAGAAGCCTGTCGCCAACCCCGTTCCCTATTGCTTCTCACTGAACTGAGGCGTCCACCCTCTTGTGTCTCTCCCAATAAATCTCTTGTGTAACATTTGTTGTGCCCTGTGACTTTGTACTATTCCTTGACTGCTGACTGCCAGGACACCTTCCCCTTTAGAACTGTAACACTTGCATTGTTGAAACCTTCCCCCTCAGAGCCACAAAGGCTTCTTTGGGGAAGCCTTTCCCCTCAGAGATATAACATCTCCATTAGAGAAGCCTTCCGCCTCACACACAGGAGAGAGAAACTTAGGGAAAGAAAGATGGAGGTGCCACGGACACTTTGGAGGAAACAACTGGCAAACGTCCACAGGGCTTGAGGACATCTGCAACCTTAGCAGGAACAGAACTCATATAAAGGGCATAGTCCAGGCTGCAAAGAGACTGAGAGGCGTGCTGCATAAGAGATCAAGCGGAGTGTGATTTTCATTTTCCTTACAGACAAAATTTAAATCAGGAGTCAGATGTTCATCACTCACAGTTGGAAGTGATTTTCATAGCATAAACAGAAGGGTGTCAAGTCAGCATCTTGTCTCTGTATGGTAAATGGTCCAGTTTTTAAAAATTCTGTTTAATGTACCCCAGCACTCTTAGAATAAAAATGAATTACTAGAGGAGGATCATCTAATCACATCCCACAGTTGTGTCAAGAGGCAATAGAAGTTACTGGTTTGTAATAAATGTTGATACTTGCCTCTTTGCTGGCTTGTAGCAGTTGATTCTTGGGCCAGAACCTGAGACCTAATATTAAAGGTTCTATTGAAAAGCAAACCACAAATAAGGTTTAATATATAAGCATTGACAGATATCATTGAAAAGCAGAATGGATTTGCAAGTGGCTTCCTCCAGTTCAGGAGAAGACAAAGAAAAAAATTTTAAGGATAGAACGGCCAAGTGTGTCTGAGGCTTACAAAGCAGTTTTATTCTCATTTAACCAAATTGAAGTCATCTTCATTTTTATGTTCATGTCTTCCAAGTCCGTGGTCAACACTGAATAATTTAGTCTCTGGTTTTATCAACAAGTTGATATTCCCAACTCTCCTTATGTTGTCTTCATAGTATAATGAAGTTTCTATTCCTTTTGATGTGGTTTAGAATCTTCTTTTGAAAATCCATTGATCTCCTTATCTCTTTATCTGTTAAGTATCTAATGTGATTTTTTAATTTTTATTTTTTTAATATTCATCACAGATTATTTACTTTGTATCCTAGCCGTAGCCCCCTCTCTCCTTCCCTCCCAATCCCACCCTCCCTCTGTCATTTCCTCCCTGTCCCTTTCCAAGTCCACTGCTAGGGGAGGTCCTCCTCCCCTTCCATCTGACCCTAGCTTATCAGGTATCTTCAGTACTGGCTGTACTGTCCTCCTCTGTGTGGCCTAGCAAGGCTGTTCCTCCCTCAGAGGTGGGGAATGGGGGTAAAGAAGCCGGTCCTTGAGTTCACGTCAGAAATAGTTTCTGTTCCTCTTACTAGGGAAGCCCACTTGCATACTGAGCTACCATGCACTACATCTGAGCAGGGGTTCTACATTATATCCAAACATGGTCCTTGGTTGGAGAAACAGTCTCATAGAGGATCCCTGTGCCCTGATTTATTTTGTCCTTGTGGGGCTCCTGTCTTCTCCCAGTCTTATTAACTCCCCCTTTTATCATATACACTGCACTTTGCCAAAGATTTGGTTATGAGTCTCAGCATCTGCTTTGATACACTGCTAGGTAGAGTCTTTCAGAGGCCCTCTGTGGTAGGCTCCTGTCCTGTTTCTTTTTTTCTCCTACTTCCCATTTGTCTTTCTAAGTAAGGATTGATCATCTTACCCCAGGTCCTCTTTCTTGTTTATCTTTTAGTTCTAAACTTTTTCTTTCAGAAAATATGCTTGTGTATTTGGGATGAGATGCCATTAATACCTGCTTAGAAATCTGTTGGCCTTAACTTTAAATTAAAATAAAAGGACTTCAATTTTTTGATATCTGCTAATTAAAATCTATTAAGTTTATCATTATTCTTATATTTTATAGGCTAGGGACTACTACTCAAAGGCTTTGAAATATAATCCAGAAAGTGGATATGGGCTCATGAATCAAGCTGTTACAAACACAATATTAAAGAAATATGAAGAAGCAAAAAATGATTTTTCACGTGCAATTGAGCACTGTCCCCACTGGGCTGCATTGTACATTAACAGAGCAAGTTTCCATTTATGCTCACAGCGGTATGAGCTAGCCGAAAAGGACCTTGGCATGGGTACGTGTATTTTGCTATTATGTCGAGACTTTTGTAGTGATTATTATACTTGTTTTCAGGGTTCCAAAGAAGAATTTCATCAAGCCTTTTATCAATATAGAATGGACATGTGTAGAACCACGTCTTTAATGTGACTGATACAGATCCCTTTACATAATATCTCACTGTAATGCATTTATGAGTTAGAATTACTGGGGAAGCACATACAAACCACACTGTTCTTCCAAAGGAAGACATTGTACCATGGCTTCCCACATTAGTTTTCTTTGAAACATCTGGTATTTCTAATTGAACTGCAGTAGTTACATTTTAGAAAAACACTTAAAATGGGAATGATGAGGATTTTATATCAACAAATCTAGCTAGATTTTTTGTTTTCTTTTGCAGCCGTGTCTTTGAAGCCTAATGAATCTCTCGCATATCATCTCAGAGCACAAGTTCGTGGCAAATTAGGACAGATAGAGGAAGCTATGAAAGATTATAATCAAGCCCTCAATCTTGAAGAATATTCCAAAGCTATGTGATTACACAGACTCTTGTGGTTTTGGTAGTAGGTTAAGTATATTTTCTTCCTGAGACTGAAATATATTTGTTGTTTAGAAATGCCACCATTGTTATTGTATTTATTACATTTAAGTGGTTATTTCTTAAAAACACTTAATGCACTTTAACAAAATGTTTATGCTCTGCATTAACTACAAAACTTTTCCATGATTTCAGACATGAATTGGATATCAGATATCTTGTGTAGTAACAAGAATGGACTCTGCTTGGTTCACTTAGTACCTCGATAGATTAATTTTTTTTCCCCTTGGAATACAAAGTCTTAAAAAAGAATGTTAGAGCCTAAAACTCTTTCTGAGATAGATAGAAAAGTATCACTGGCTTTTTCTTCCTATGCCCTATTTGAACCTACTCAACAGTATACAGCTTGAAGAGAATGAATATTAGCTGGTGGGGATAAAAGACTGGTGGGCCATACACTCTCTCTCTCCTTTTTAAACACTGTGATACCATCCCATATTTTTCCTGGTACCTGCATTCTTCCAATATATAAACACACTTCCTATGTGCTGCTTGCCTTCTAGAATAGCATCTACAAGGATTTTTAAAACCCCATTTCCTTGACACAATCCCTTCTTCCTCTCATTCAGATTTTACAAACATACAAATAAACATTTACAAAAATCTGTGTACACTTTGAATTAATACTTCATAGCACTCAGTAAACAAAATTGAAACATTTTTTTCCCAGAAAAGATCTCACTATGCAGACTAGTTTGGCCTTGAACTTACGGTTCTGCTCTGGTCTCCCAAGCGTAGGATTTTAGGTGTGGGCCATAATGCCTACTTTAAAATTCATTATATTTCTGGGGGATCTCTTGGTAAACCAGAGAGTCCTTTCTTTTTACTACACTCCCAGTGTCCAAGGTTTCCTGATTTCTCATTTCCTGAGATTTACCTCACTCAATTTATTTTCTTTCTTGGTGTTTTATTCTCCTAATACATCTCCAGCACAGCACTTTAGAGGACCACTTTCATGGTGATGAGTCATAGATGTCCCCTTAACTTCCTTTACTTTTAACTTGATAGTCAGTGTGTTACAATATAAAGTTGACGGTAGTCTGTAAGCTACAGTGAAGACACATCATATCACTCAAGGGTAATCTTCCTGACAGGATGGGTAGATCCATGTAAGTATCAGTTCATCCTAGTGAATTATTTCAGATGATTGATGACACACATTTACTTTGTCTTTTGGAGTCTTCTTGCCCTCACTAGTCTCCAGACCCTTTTGTTCTGCCTTAGCAACAGGTGAGGTCAGACAGACCCCATTTCCTTCTGTGGCACATATATACCTCTGACTCTCCTGAGTTTCTTTGCTGAAGTGGAAGTGATAGATGCTGGGGATTCTCTTACTGCCTACTGTATGCCCTGCTGATGTGCAAAAGATATACACTTCTGTCACATGAACTTTTGAAGATGGCAGAAGGGAAGTGACTCAAGGGAATTAGACACATTCGTCACATCTCATTTCAGTGTCCTGAGACCCTGGCTTTATGTAGACTCCTGATAGAACATGGCTCTAAGGGATTATCACATCAGTCACAATTGCTAGTTAGTAGTCAGTTCACTGAATATCTCACATAAGTGTTTCTGTCTTCCCTGTGTCATTCTTAAAACATTCTTAATTTTCTGGGATTTTACTTACTGACGGCAACCTTTAAGTCTGTGGCTTGCAGTCGTGACCGTAAATCGCACATTTCTTAGCCTGTGCCCTGGCTTTCCTGGCATCCTCTACATGCTACAGTCTCACCCATCCTGCTTTTGCCACCTTTGCTTTGCTCTCCGAATGACACCTGCTCTTCCAGACCTTCCCAGGTTTGAACACCCATTTTCTTGTATAAAATCCCATTTTTTTACATAATAATAGAGGTAAATTTTGTTATCTGTGACTGACTGCTTATCAGCATTATGTTCTGAGATTTAAAAAGCGTACTAATTCAGATGCTTGCTTTTTAATGGCTTCAGTGTCTTTTCCGCAGTGAAGCATTTTAGAGTTTACTAATGAACAGAGGAGAATTACAAATTGAAAATAGAAAGTATAACAATCATGATGTTTTGTACCTTAAGTCAAGCATAAGATCCCAGGGCTGCAATAGCCCTCAATAGCCCCATTATACAGTAAGTATTAATAAATAAACCGAGTTTGGAGAAGGTTGACCTATATGCCGTTAGTAAGGAGTTGGTTGGATGTTGTGCTTACTCTTGACTGTTCATTTGCTGGGGTTCAGCAACACCTAAGAGAAAAATGTCTGAATATGTCTGTAAGGGACTTTCCAGAGACATTTACTTAATTGAAAGACCTACCCTGAGTGTGAATGTCATCCTCCATTCTTGGAATGAATAAAAAGGCAAAGCAAGGGGAACATGACTATTCAACTACTTATCGCTCTGCTTCCTAACTGCAGAGACGATGTGACCAGCGGCCTCATGCTTCTACCTTCCTACCTTCTCAGCCATGGTGGACTGTTCCCTTAAACTGTGAGCTGAGATAAATCCTTTTCCCCTTAGTTTGTGTTTTTGTCACAGTAATGAAAAGTAACACACATAGAAAGTTGGTTCTGAGGAGTGAGGCTATTGCTGTCATAAACCTGGCCCTGTAATTAATAGGCTTTGGAAACAATTTTTTGGTAGGAATTTCAAGAGTTTTGAGATGGAGGTTAGAGAAGATCTACAGCATTGTAAGCAGAGATTAGTGGACTATGCTTGTAGTTTGAAATACTAGGCTACAAAGAACAATGTGAACTTCAAAAGACCCAGATCATGAAATTCCACAGTAAAACATGAACTCTATCAGAAACTGGGCTACAGGCAATTTGTATTCTTGAGTGAGGTGGAATGAAAAGAAATGGCCAAAATTATTTGGCAGTGGAAATATCAGGGAATGACAGCATTCTGGCTTTGATGTATTGGCTGTTCAACTGCTGTTAACCAGATCCATGTTTAGTCTGGTGGGAGAGTAAGTAGAGCTAAAAGAAATGGGAAAAAAAAATGTGTTTAGGAGAAGAAAGGAATGCAAACAAGTTTAAATCTGCAGACAAGGAGAATTTGTTTGCATATGGAGAAGGCAACAGTAATTGTTAAAGAGACTGATATCTTTAAATATGTTGTGTGCTTGTACAGTAGACAAGGTTCTCTAAAAGCAAGATTTCACCCAACAAAGATTCAAAGTTTTGAAAAAACAAGTTCATTTGAAAGGAGAGAGCTTTGGACAGAGTACAGGGAATTTTATGAAAGGATGGGGAGATAGAAAGACCTGGAGGAGACAGGAGGTCCACACGCAGAGCAACAGAACTAAAAAATCTGGGCACAGGGGTCATTTGTGAGACTGATACTCCAACCAAGGACAGTAAATGGAGATAACCTAGAACCCCTTCTCAGATGTAGCCCATGGTAGCTCAATGTCCAAGAGGGTTTCCTAGTAATGGAAACAGGGACTGTCTCTGACATGAACTCAGTGGCTGGCTCTTTGATCACCGCCCCCCAACAGGGGAACAGCCTTACTAGGCCACAGAGGAAGACAATGCAAGCAGTCCTGATGAGACCTGATAGGCTAGGGTCAGACGTAAGGGGAGGAGGACCTCCCCTATCAGTGGACTATGGGAGCTGCAAAGGAGAGAAGAGGGAAATAAGGTGGGATTGGGAGGAGATGAGGGAGCTACAGCTGGGATACAAAGTGAATAAACTGTAATAAATGATTTAAAAAGTAATTTCAAATGAAGGACTAGAGGGAATATAGCTCAACAGAATAAAATCTATATATAAGAAACCCACAGGTGGGGATGAAGAGATGGCTCAGAGGTTAAGAGCACAGGCTACTCTTCCAAAGGTCCTGAGTTCAATTCCCATACCAACTATGGGATCTGGGGCCCTCTTTTGGGGTGCAGGTATATATGCAGATAGAATGTTCTAAAATAAATAAATAAATAAATAAATAAATAAATAAATAAATAAATAAATAGAAGAAAGAAAGCGACAGGCACCATCATCCTAAATGGAGAAATGCTTGAAGCATTCCCACTTAAGTAAAAAACAAGACGGGATGTCCACTCTTCCCATTTCTTTCCAATATTGTGCTCAAAGCACTAGCTGGAACAATAAGGTAAGACAAAGAGATTAAAGGGACTCAGATAAGCAAATAAGGTAAGACAATAAGGTAAGACAAAGATTAAAGGGACTCAGATAAGCAAATCATTCCTATTTATGGATGATATGATCATATACATTACAGAAAACTTTTAGAAATGATAAAATTCACAGTGTGGTAGGATAGAGAATCAACTAGCACAAATCAATAACTTTTTTATATACCAGTCATAAACATGCAGAGAAGAACATGAACATATTCCCTCTCACAATATCCTCAAATTAAAAAAAAAAATATCTAGGAGTGGTATAGCTGAGTCTTGAGGAAGCACTATTCCTAATTGTTTAAGAAAGCGCCAGATAGATTTCCAGAATGATTGTACCAGTTTACATTCCCACCAGCAGTGGAGGAGGGTTCCCCTTTCTCCACAACCTCTCCAGCGTGTGTTGTCCCTTGAGTTTTTCATCTTGGCCATTCTGATGGGTGTAAGGTGATATCTCAGGGTCGTTTTGATTTGCATTTCCCTGATGGCTAATGAGGATGAGCATTTCTTTAAGTGTTTCTCTGCCATTCAATATTCCTCTGTCGAGAATTCTCTGTTTAGCTCTGCTCCCCATTTTTTAATTGGATTACTTGGTTTTCTGCTTTTCAGCTTCTTTAGTTCTTTGTATATACTCGATATTAGTCCTCTGTCAGATAAAGGGTTAGTGAAGATGCTTTCCCAATCTGTAGGCTGTCGTTTTGTTTTGATGACAGTGTCCTTTGCTTTACAGAAGCTTTTCAGTTTCATGAGCTCCCATTTATTGATTGTTGCTCTTAGAGCCTGTGCTGTTGGTGTTCTGTTCAGGAATTTGTCTCCTGTGCCAGTGAGTTCTAGGCTGTTCCCCACTTTTTCTTCTAAAAGATTTAGAG